TGCAACATTTTGCTACTTAATTAGATTCCATGTGTTTCATTACTTTAACTTTGTCAGACTTAAGCTACTTTAGCCTTCTGCTGCTTTAAGCTTGAGCTAACTTTGTCTATTTAGCTATTAGTTATTTACTTTTTTAAACTAGTTTTCTCTCCTTTCCACTGGCCTTTTGCTTCTTTTAGCTAATTTCAGTTAAACTTTTCCTACTTTTAAGTTGTAGCCACAGTTTAGCTGTCTTTGATCAGAAACATAAAAACAATCTGGACAGAGCGATCAGGGCGTATCTGATCTTGGTTCGACCACTTTGACTAATACTGGATTCTGATTGGGCGGATTATTTATCAGCACTTCCTGGATTAGTTCTTTGTTGTATAAATAGCAGTAAAATAACATCTAGAATCAAATATTTACTGCGGCTCACTAAGGATTGTACTTTCACTCAGTGAAAACGGAATCATTAACAGTGGAGGTGTTTTTAGGCTCCGCCCATTTAAGAGTTCTGGGGCATCCTGGACGTTCTTCGCCTCGTCCCTCAGCCGTTCAGCCGGCGGAGCCGTGTTTGACACACTTGTAGCTCCTCCTCAGAGTCATCCTGTCACGTCTCACGGTTAATGTTCCTGAGAGTTAAAGTTTGGACGGTGGTCGCACTCGTTCACTCATTCACACCTGCTTACAGTTTGACAAACCCGTCAGTGTTAATGCGTCGATGATTGCTCTCATCATTCATCAGAACTTCACAGCCGTTGCTTCAGCTCTGGACTCATTTAGTCGTGTAAAACCTTTTTGTTTCATAGTGTTGATGGTAAAAGACACAGGAAGTAAGAAATGACTTCATCTTCTACCTCTCGCCTCAAGGGGCGGGGTCACATTCAGAGCTCACGATAGGCCAGATTTATAAAACGTTTCTCTTTTTCCTCTGATTTCTGCACAGAAATGAGTCACTGCGAGGTGTAAACGTTAAATAAACCATTAATTCAGGGCAGATTGAGAACATTCAGGTCGTCATCCGGTGTCTTATGAAGAGAATTTAATGTTCAAAAGTTACCTTCATTTGGCAGCAAAAGCTGAGTAAAAGTGTTAAATAGATCAGCTGAACAAGCTAAAATCTAACCRAACACAATCATTAAACATGTCTGAACTTTTATCAGCTCATTTACCTGCTGTTGTTTTTCTACCTGTTCMTGTAATCGACTCTTTACGCTGCAGAAAATAAAGAAATAAAATCTTTACTGATCCTCTTTCCTTTAAAAAGGGTTTGGCAGCAACAAAAGAACCCCCCAGAGTTCAGAGCYGGGTCAGACCAGAATTACTCCGAGTGGTGAATCGGCATCGAAGGAATTTTTAAATTTCCTGTTTCCCCAATAATTCAGCTGTTGTTACGTCCTTGTGCAGCTGAACCTCGGCTGATCGTTTCACAATACGGCGGCTCTTTGTGATCGAAACAAAATATCACCTGCACAACCGAGAAACGCTGAGAGAGTGCTGAAATCTACAGAAGAAGCTAAAGCTGATTGGTAAAGAAGCAAAAGTCTAGCAAAAACAGTAAAAATCTCCCTAAAACAGCAAGAAAGATGCAAAACATTAGGTAAAATGAGCAAAACACTAGCTATAGGAGGCAAAACACTAGCTATAGGAAGCTAAACACTAGCTATAGGAGGCAAAACACTAGCTATAGGAGGCAAAGAACTAGCTATAGGAAGCTAAACACTAGCTATTGGAAGCAAAACACTAGCTATAGGAAGCAAAGAACTAGATATAGGAAGCAAAGAACTAGTTATAGGAAGCAAATAACTAGCTATAGGAGGAAAAACACTAGCTATAGGAAGCTCAACATTAGCTATAGGAAGCAAAACACTAGCTATAGGAGGCAAAGAACTAGCTATAGGAAGCTAAACGCTAGCTATAGGAAGCTAAACACTAGCTATAGGAGGCAAAACACTAGCAATAGGAAGCAAAGAACTAGCTATAGGAAGCAAAGAGCAAGCTATAGAAGGCAAAACACTAGCTAAAACAAGCAAAACATTAGTTATAAGAAGCAAATGTCTAGTTAAAAAGAGCAAAACACTAGCTAAAATAAGCAAAACTCTAGCTAAAATATGCAAAACACTAGCTAAAAGGAGCAAAACACTAGCTATAGGAAGCAAAACTCTAGCTAAAATAAGCAAAACACTAGCTAAAATATGCAAAACACTAGCTAAAAGGAGCAAAACACTAGCTATAGAAAGCAAAGAATTAGCTCAAATAAGCAAAAC